TCCTCTCGCTTCTGCCTCCCAAAGTACTGGGATTACAGGTGTGAGCCACTGCTCCCGACTGGAGATCTCATTGTTACCAGTACCACGAGCCCCCAAAAAGTGTCCTGGGTGTTTGAGCTAGTTTAGTGGGTTTCTGTTTCTTGCATCCATGACAGACTGAAATTAGGACTTGGTAAAAGAAGGGTATTGAGGGAAATAATTTAAAATGTGGAACCACCTAAGCAAATATGGATCAGGATCAGCACATGCATGGATTATAAAGTGAACAGGGCTCTCTAAGTTTGTGCAGTGCACAACCTGTCCCGTCCTGTAGAAAAGCCTTCCCCCAGGAAGCTAGGAATCTCTTTTACGTGGAAAAAACCCAGCTGATTAAATCATGGCCTATTTTATCTTGGAATTCTGAGCATGTGTCTCCAGAGGAGCAGGATGCTGGAATATGGGGGAATAGAGGTTATCGTGTCTTGCAAGAAAGACTCCACTTCTAGAATGAGCTACTTCCCAAAGCAGAGACTCACATGTGCTTGATTTTGTGAGATCACCCGAGCGGAATTATCTGCCCCAAGCTAAAAGGGGAGGCAGCAGGTAATAAGATGGGAGATAAGATGGGGATTATGAGAGAACTGGGGGATACTTGACACCCTAGGGTACTCCCAAACAAAGTGGTTGTTTCCCAAACAAGAGTGGTTGCTGTCTAAAAAGGAAACAACCACTCTTCTAGAAAGAGCCTATTGGCTGCGTGTATCCAGCTTCTAGGTTGTAATCTGAGGCAAGATGGATGCTCCGGGCGGACACAGATGTGTGATCAGGAGAGAGTCCCGCAAGGATTCAACGATCCTGGCCGGGTTTGGAACTCAAATCACTCGGGGCGGGCCGCATGAGCGGAGCCAGCCAATCAGAGTCATCCATCCCTCTGGGCACGGTGATTGGCTCCATGGCAGAGCATGTGACTCAAGTGAACCGATCAACGCGTTTCTTAAATACCAATTATGGGGAGTGTGGATGGGAAACCGCCCCTTCTATAAGGGTTTTAGTCATACGGATTGGAGGATGCTAGTAGGGACACGCGACTGAGAACTGGTGAGGGAGACAGAGTGCTGATGCAAAGTCAGCATGCCTGATATTAGACCCAATGTCAGACTTTTGTTATTTCCTTTTTTTTTTTTTTTTTAATTCCTGATACAGGGTCTCACTCTGTTGCCCAGGCTGGAGGGCAGTGGCATGATCATGGCTCACCGCAGCCTTGACCTCCAGGGCTCAGGTGATCCTCTCACCTCAGCCTCCCGAGTAGCTGGGACAACAAGCATGTATTAGCACGCCCAGCTGATTGTTTTGTTTCTTTGTAGAGATGAGGTCTCGCTGTGTTGCCCAGGCTGGTCTCGAACTTCCTGACTCAGGTGATTCTCCTGCTTTGGCCTCGCAAAGTGCTAAGATTACAGGTGTGAATCGCTGCCCCGACGGTTGTTTCTAGATCAATAAAATCTATTTTTGCTTGAGCTGGATAGAACTCGGAGTTTCTCTCTCTTGCAACAAAATGACTTAAGACATTAACAAATGTAGGCACCATTCATTGAAATGCAGCCAAGAGGCAGACCTTGGTCTAAGCGGGGTACACGCACGTTTTATTTAATCTTTATAACTGCTTTATGAAGGAGGAACTATGCCATCCTCATTTTACAGATAAGGGAAGCAAGGATCAGAGGGTTCTCGTGCCTAAGGAGAGAAAAGAAGGTTTGAATTCTGCTTTTGGGTGATGCATATCACCAACAAACTTGTCTTCCTTTAAAAATTAATCTTTGGGCCAGGCTTGGTGGCTCAGATTGTAATCCCAGTACTTTTGGAGGCCGAGGAGAGCGGATTGCCTGAGCCCGAGGGTTCAAGACTATCCCAGGCAACTTGGCGAGACATTGTCTCTACAATAAAATAAAAATTAAAAAATTAGCCGAGATGGTAGCGTGCGCCTGTAGTTCTGGCTACTTGGAAGGCTAAGGCAAAAGGATTGCTTGAGCCCACAGCAGGTTGAGGCTGTGGTGGCTGTGAGCATGCCACTGCACTCCAGCCTGGGTGACAGGGTGAGACTCCAAAAAAAAAAAAATTAATCTTGATTTTCCCATGTTCAATTCTAAAATGATAAGATTTGGGGGGGGTAGGATACAGGAGGAATAGATTTAGAGCCATAAAATACACCCAGTCATTCTGATTCAATATCTCTCCCCACTGATTACACTCTTCCAGGAAAGCTATCTGAGGGCCGGTCAGTTCCATTGTTAGAAAATGCATCCAACTGTGCTGAAATCTGGCTACTTATAACATCTTGTTTTTCATCTGGTGTCTGGATTATTTCAAACTATTACTGGGATGAGGCAGGACACAAATAATCCTGCAACTAGAGCTATGTTGAACTTAATACCAAAGTAAACTTTGTGAGCTTTCTGGCAGGCAAGGTAAGGACAAAAAGCCTTTCTGTTTTAGTGGTCTGGTCACAGGTAGGCCAGCCTTATGAGAAGTGGATGGGTTTATTGCAGTGTTTTTCAATCAGGGCAATTCTCCCTGCCCTGGAGGCATATGGCAATATCTGGAGACATCTTGGCTGTCACAATTGGGAGGAAGAGGTGCTATTTGCATCTAATGGGTAAAGGACAAGTATGGCATTAACCATCATGCAATGCACAGGAAAGCCTCCAACAAAAGTTATCTGATCCAAGATGTTGACAAATGTCAAACTCTGGTTTATCATGAAATAATGAGTGTGATGCAAAACATCTTTTTACTTTGTCTTATTTTATTACTATTTTATTTTTGAGTCAGAGTCTCACTCTGTCACCCAGGCTAGAGTGCAGTGGCATGAGCACAGCTCACTTCAGTCTCAGTCTTCTGAGTTCAGGAGATCCTTCTGCCTCAGCCTCTTGAGTAGCTGGGACTACAGGCATGTGTCACCACACCAGTTAATTTTTTTTATTTTCAGCCAGCCCAGGCATCATAGTGAGACCTTGACTCTACAGAAAATTTTAAAAACTAGCCGGGTGTGGCGGTGCATGCCTATAATTCCAGCAAGTAGATATGAGGTCTCACTATATTGCCTAGCAAACTCCTGGGCTCCTCTCACCTTGGCCTCCCAAAGCACTGGGATTACAGGTATAAGCCATTGTGCCCAGCCTCATTTTATTTTTTGAGATGGGGCTTCCCTCTGTCACCCAGCCTGAAGTGCAGTAGCATGATCATGGCTCACCACAGCCTCGACTTCCTGGCCTCAGGCAATCCTTCCTTCTCAGTCTCCCAAGTGGCTGGAATTATAGGCATGCACCACCACACCTGGCTAATTTTTTTTTATTTTCTGTAGAGTCAAGGTCTCACTATGATGCCTGGGCTGGCTGAACTTCTGGGCTCAAGTGATCCTCCCACCTCAACCTCTCAAAGTACTGGGATTACAGGTGTGAGCCACCACTCCTGGCCCAAAATATCTTTAGGGGAAGCAAGCAGAGAGGGTATTATGCAAACAGCAGATTCTCCTATGGTCAAGGCGGACAGCATGCATGTGGCCAAAAGAGCCATCACATGACAAAAAAGTGGGACTCCTGCCCTTCCTGTGAAAATGACAACCTGGCCTGGAAGAACTGATGCCAATGGGGAAAGGACTCTTGGTCAGGGCTGAGACTGAGTCCTGGTGAGTGGGCCATTGGGCTGGGGGTCTTGGTCTTTGGAGGTCTGACTCAAGGCCATGTTGACTCCTCGAAACTGGACACTCAACAGCTTGCACTGGCAGGCCTGGGCATGGCCACTGAGGTCCACTTTACCCCAGGCAGACCTGAAGCCAGACCCGGGCCTTAAAGGTCGGGCGCTGTCCAAGGTGCTGGCCCTCGCTGAGCCCCAACACCGGCTTCAAAGCCCCACCATACCCTCCTTCTTTTGACCTTTTTCATTTTGTCCCTGGCTGGACACCTATTCCCTGGAACTCATCATGCCTTGATGGCTTTTGTCAGTCTGTCCCTGGACTTCAGTGGCCCAGCCAACCAGTGCACCGTGCAGACTACAGTCTCCGCACACAATGGAGGAAACTGCTGGATCACTCTTAGCTGTGTCCACCCCTTCATGCCCTCCCAGTCTCTCTGCCATCTAAAACTTTCCCCCATGACTTCCTCCCCCCATCCTCAGAAGGGTAACCCCCTTTCCAGACCCTCAGCCACATGCACTGACAAGAGCGTTTCTCAAGGATAGCAGCCTAATGAGAGTTATTAATACTATTTATCTCCGTTTCACAAATGAGCAAACTGAGGCACAGAGGGGTTGACAGACTTGCCCAAAGCCATTATTCAGGACATAGAGGTGACAGGGTTTGGATCATGTCTGTCCAGCCCCAGGAACCTGCATTCTGCACCCTCTACCCAATGCCCCAGGGTTCAACACTAAGACTCCCTCAGGTTTGCAGAAGTGACTGTTCAGATGTCCAGCGTTTTCACAATGGGTTATCCTCTCCTGTACAGCCCTTTCCTGTAGCCCCCACCCATATAAGCATCCTCTTTAATGGCTGACTGATGGGGAGGTGTGGGATGTTGTCAAGGAAATTTTTTTCTCCTTCCTTCTGTCCTTTTGTTCCTTTCTTTTATAGAAAGGGTCTTGCTCTCTGGCCCAGGCTGGAGTGCAGTTTCTCTATCATAGCTCACCACAGCCTCAACCTCCTGGGTTCAAAAGATCCTCTTGCCCCAGACTCCCAAGTAGCTAGGACTACAGGCTCACACCACCACACACAGCTAATTATCTTTTTTTTTTGTAGGGATGGAATCTTGCTATGTTGCCCAGGCTTGTCTCAAACTCCCGGGCTCAAGAGATCCTCCTGCTCACCTCAGCCTCCCAAAGTGCTGGGATTACAGGCTGAGCCACCGAGCCCAGCTCTTTTTTCCTTTTTTATAGAGATGGGTGTATCACCATGTTGCCCAGGCTGGTCTTGAATTCCTGAACTCAAGCAATCCTCCCGCCTTGGCCTTCTGAGTAGCTAAGATCACAGTCAAGGTGATGTTTATTGCGGGCTGGGGCATGGGTACATAGGGGGCTGGGGAGCCCGAGGGTCTATCTTCTCCCAACAGCCCTGCTGGCGAGGGGTGCCCAGTGGCACATAGCTCTCCTGGGGGTTGCTCAGTCTCAGTACTGCTGGGCCCTGGTACTTGGAAGGAAATTCGTCCTCGTAGTGGGTTGAGAAGAAGCGCAGTTCATTCAGAGGGGGCTCCACGTGGCTGTTCTTGCACTGTGGAGTCAGGGTAGACAGGCTGGCAGGGCAACCTAGGGGGTGGCTGATTCACCCAGACCACCCCATGGACCCGGACACCCCAGGAGCATCAAGGGATGGGAAGATTGGACCCTGGAAAGGTGGGCAAAAGTGGCCTCCGTCTGGGCTGTCCCAGGAGCTGGATGACAAGCCAGAGAGAAGCTAGGGTTGCACCTGGAAGGAATCCAGGGTTGGACTGAAATAAGCTAAATCAGTTAATAAAATCAAATTGCTAGCAAAGTAATAATATTAACCAGCTTACTCCATTTTGTTTCCAACTTTCATCTTAGTTACCTTCCTGACCTAAGAACCAATGCCTACGTGTGATTACAGTAACGTTCCCATGACCACAGACCCCCAGCTTTGTCTCCTTTGGGCAGGTTATGCTGACCGTTGCCTGCTGATTTTTTGTATACTTTGTTAACTGAAACCAAATGTTACCCTTTGACATTTTCATAGTTTGTTCGTATATTCTGTTAGTGACCTAACCAAGGTAACTCCGTTGTATAATGATTCTTCTTCCTTGTCTCTATGTAACTACCTTAAACTATATCTTAATGGCAGAACTCCAGGGACTTTCTGGGCACTGGTGATACCTAGGACATGAAATTAATCAAAGCTCCCTAACAATCGAAGTTCCCATTTTGGTTGCCAAGTTGTTAGTTAATAGTTGCTATGGTCACTAAGTTGCTACATAGCCAATACTGCAAATTTTACCTACAAAAGCTTGTCACAAAGTCACCAATTTGTCAAGTTTTTCTGGCGTTTGCCTACTCTTGATCCGCACATTAATAAAGGACTCTAATTAATTAAACTCAACTTGTTGGCATAGCTTCTTCTTGCTTACTCGGTCATAACAGGATGATCCTAAGTGACTCTAAGTTAACCCTTGCCTTGGGGTATAGCCGTGGCTGGTGATGGAAGGACGTCCCTGAGGTGATCTGACATAACCCCTGAGGTGAGCTAGGGATGACCTTGAGGCCCAGCGCAGTGGCTCACGCCTGTAATCCCAGCACTTTGGGAGGTGGAGGCGAGAGGATTGCCTGAGCCCAGGGGTTTAAAACCAGCCTGGGCAACTCGGCGAGACCTCGTCTCTACAATAAATCAAGTAATGAGCCAGACGTGGTGACACACTCCTGTAGTCCCAGCTACTCTGGAGACTGAGACGGGAGCATTGCCTGAGCTCAGCAGGTCGAGGCTGCGGTGGCCATGACCTGTGCCACTGCACTCCAGCCTGGGCGGCAGAGGGAGACTCTGACTTTAAAAAAAAAAAAAAATGAGCCTGGGGTGATCACTAACTCTGAGTCTAGGGTGACAGTATAATCGTCTTGAGATAACTCTACCCTGAGGTGGGGGCTACCTGGTGAGGGATGTACCCCCTCTGCCCCTCCCTCACCCGCTGTAGCATCTCTTCGGTCACGAGGGCCCGAGCTGTTCCGTGTGGCTTCAGCATCTTCTGGTTCATGGTTAAAAAATCGAATTCTGGAGATTTGGGTGGGGACGGCCGAGTTGAGGGGCTGAGGGAGGCGAGGCCCGGCGGAGGGGGCGGGGAGGTTTCTCACCAAGGTGGAGGGAAGGGTGGGGCTGAGGAGGCCAGGGGCGGGCCCAACCCAGACGAGCCTGTGGGCGGGGCCAGGCAGGAAAGTTGAATGGTCAGGGGGCGGAGCCAGAGGAAGAGGGGTTAGGATTGGGTAAGAGCGGATAGGGGAAAGGGGCGGAGTTCTAAGGGGGGAGGTGCCATGGTGGGGGTGGAGGGGGCACGGCCACGAATTGGCAGAATTGTCCAGGGTGGAGTTAGGGCACACGTCAATTCGGGGTAAGATTTAGCCCCTCAGGAGGCGGAGACGGAGGTTGGGCGTGGCCACGAGGGGCGTGGCCTGCGGGTGGGGCGTGGCCTGGCGGGGAGGGCCACACTGACCGCCGGTGCCCTGGGGCAGGTTGGTCTGCCCAAAGTGGAGGTTGGGCGCTTTCTGGATCTTTCTCATTTCCTCTGCAGAGCGGTAGTCTGAGCTCATGGTGGTCTGGAAGAAGTGTCTGAGCGGCTTCCTCTCTCCCAGGGTCACATGACTCTGCAATTTCTCATGGGGCGGGTGGCGGCTGGGTGGCTGGGTCAGAGGTGGCGGCTGCAGGATCACATGGCATCTGGAAAGCTCCCGTGTCCACAGTGTCCCAGGGCCCAGAGGGAGGGAGGTGGTGGGGACTGTGTGACCTTGGACAGCCTTCCTCATTCCCTCTGGGCCCATGCCACAGCGCTTGTAGTTGGTAGTTACCTCATTTTACAGACAGAGTCACTGAGGCTTGGAGTGGTTAACTGACATACTCTAGGTCACTCAAGTAGATCCAGAAGATTCCCGCATACATGTCAAGCTCACTGCCTCCTCAGGACCTTTGCACCTGCTATTCCCTCTGCCCGGGAAGTCCTTTGCCCTGAGGAGCCTCGCCACCTTCTCCCTTTCCCCACTGACCTGGCCGTAGAAATACTGCATGGAGGTGTCGAGACTGCCAGGGCCGGGGCACCAATTTCCTTCCAGAATGTGTGACTCTGGAGTCTGGTCGTGGTGAAGAACAAGGGGCTCTGCCAGTGGCAGAGTGGGTGCTAAGCTGCCCAGGGAGGTTGCTGTGGGAGCCCCGGGGCAGAGCTGGCAATAGGCTCTCACCTGGCTCCCGGGCATAGAAGTGCTCGGCCTTGGTGGTCCTGTCATGGAATAGGCCGTCTCCAGGACGAACATGCACATAGTAGATGTGGGCTGCGGCCTGGGCCTTGTCATACCTGCAGGTGGTGTGTTATTCTACCAAGAATAAGGCAAGGTGGGATCCATCCAGGCCCTCACAACTCCCAGGATAGGGGAGGGAGCAGGGCTGTGCAGTGGCCAAGCCATGGGGCCAAATAATGGGAGGCCTGGCCCAAGAACCGGTCTTGCCTGGTGGTGGTGGTGACTTCAGAGGCAGAGTACCAGCTGCTAGGCCCTGAGTGGCACACCTCATGCGCTACTGAAAGCCAACCATGCCATCTTTGTGGGAAGGTAGGGACCCCTTGGTACCTGTCTGGGGACAGGCCCTGGGGCCCATAGGCCTGTTTCTGCTCAGAACACATGTGGTCATAGCCAGTCTTGCAGTCTCCCAGTTCCACGCTGGAGGAGGCCTGCGGACAGACAGGGCTGGGAATGCCCAAACCACCCAGCCCCCACTGTTGCTCTCTCAGCAGCTACAAGCCAGCCTCAACTTACCCTCTTACACATCGAGGCAGGTGGGCCTGGCAGGACCTCAAACTGTCTCTGGTAGGAGGTCTTGTCCTGTCTGTTGTAGTCCCATTTGAGAGTATTGGGGCCACCTGAGGACAGATGGGGTGGGGGGGAGGAGCTAGAGATTGACTTCCTGCAGCCTCAGGCTCACTGGG